GTCGCCAGCCGACATAACTTGGCTGATGGCACCCTGAGGAGACCCTCTCTGTGGGAGCGGACTGGTCGGTGGGAGGCTATTGGTGGCAGAAGACGGTCTCGAAGGTACCCGGGTCCTATGCCATGGAGCGCTTTAAAGGTGGTAACCAACACCTTGAATCGCACCCGGAAGACCACTGGGAGCCAGTGCAGCTCGCGCAGGAGGGGTGTCACGCGGGCACAACGAGTTGCGCCCATAACCACCCGTGCGGCCGCATTCTGGACCAGCTGGAGCCTCCGAGTGCTCTTCAAGGGGAGCCCCATGTAGAGAGCATTACAATAGTCCAGCCGGGAGATGACAAGGGCATGAGTGACCGTGCGCAAGGCGTCCCGGTCCAGAAAGGGCTGCAGGGGCACACCTCAGGGGCAGGCCCATGTAGAGGGAATTGCAGTAATCCAAGCAGGAAGTAACCAGGGCATGAGTGATAGTGCGAAGGTCATCTCGATCCAGAAAAGGGAGCAACTGGCGCACCAGGCGAACCTGTGCGAAGGCCTCCCTGGTCACAGCCGTCAGGTGGTCTTCTAGGGACAGCCAAGCATCCAGGAGGACACCCAATTTGCGAGCTCTATCAACGAGGGCAAGTTTTTCCCCACCTATCAAAAGTGATGGGGTCTCTGCAACCCGAGATGCCGGCATCCACAGCCACTCAGTCTTGGAGGGGTTGAGCCTGAGTCTGTTTCTACCCATCCAGGCCCGCACCTCCTCCAGGCAATGGGACATCATGGAAAGGGCATCTCTGGGGTGGTCTGGGGTGGAGTATAACTGGGTATCATCAGCATATTGATGATATCTCACCCCGAAGCCATGAACGATCTTACCCAGCGGCTTCATATAGATGTTAAAGAGCAGGGGGGAGAGAACTGACCCCTGAGGCACCCCACAATTTAGGGGCCTCGGGGTGGACCTCTGCCCCCCCGCCCATAAAAACTGCAAGCGACCTGAGAGATAGGAGGAGAGCCTCCCACCCCCAACCCCACAAGTCGCTGCAGTAGGATACCATGGTCGATGGTATGAAAAGCCACTGAGAGGTCAAGTAGGACCAGGATGGAGGAACAACCACCATCCCGAGCCCGCCAGAGATCATTCACCAGAGCAACCAATGCCGTTTCCGTGCTGTGCCCACATCAGAAGCCCAATTGGTACGGGTCTAGGTATTCCATTTCCTCCAGGAACTGTGGGAGCTGTTGCGCCACCACAGTCTCAACAACCTTCGCAATGAAGCGAAGGTTGGAGATGGAACGATAGTTATTAAGTGAGTCTGGATCCAGGGAAGGCTTTTTGAGGAGAGGTCGAACCACCGCCTCCTTAAAAGAGGCGGGGAAGACCCCCTCCTTCAACAAAGCGTTGACAATTGCCTGGATCTAGTCTCTAGTCACCTCCCTGGCAGCCGAAAAAACCAGGGGGGACAAGGATCCAATAAGCAAGTGGAGGAACCAAGTTTACCCATAATCCTGTCCACTTCCTTGACAGAAACAGGGTCAAACTCAACCCAGATATTACTCTCAAGACCTACCCTAGTCTCCCCATTGGATTCTGCCCAGGCAGAGTCCAATCCGATCCGGATCTGAGCGATTTTATCATGCAGAAACTGTACAAAATCCTCAGCTCTGCCCTGTAAAGGGTCTTCCCTTGCTCCCTGATTGAGGAGGTAGCGGGTCACACGAAACAGGGCCACTGGGCGGTTTTCTGCAGATGCAACGAGGACGGCGAAGTAATCTCGCTGTCGAGTCCTGCCGGAGCTCGCCATCAATGGGGTGTGTGGGAGACGAAGGAGTGGAGATAAGCAGCCGCAGAGAACACACAAACAGTTCCTGGATAGCAGCATTCAGGGCAATGATTGATGACGTTGCTGGGCCTCTCCGATTCTGCTGTCCTCGCTGCTCGCAGCTGTTACTGTTAAGGGAGTGGGGGGTGCTTGATTGATAATCACCGGATGTATGTTTAAGGGGCTGAGTTTTTGTTAAATAGCACTGTGGTGTGATTACACCCAGCGCTGACTTTGAACCAAAACACCGACTTGTACTTTACTTTTGACTGCAAGCTTATCATTGCCAAAGTAAACCCTGATTCTCTGTGTGTTACTGGTGATTATTTCCTATCGCAGTTCTGAACGAACGACAAGCCGAGACTCGCTTCGCCGCTTCCATCGCCACTAGATAAGACCTATGGGTTCTTAACTGTGTTCGATCAGATTCAGACCGGGAGGACCTCCAAGTCTCCTCTAGGCGTCTTTTCCGATGTTTCATTTCCCAGAGCTCCATGGAAAACCAAGGAGCGACCCGGTATCTGCGTCGGGTCAGAGGCCGCAAAGGTGCAATTCGGTCCAAGGCGTCGGCAGCCGCCCATTCCCAGGATGCCACCAGAGCCTCAGCCAAATCGCAGGATTGAGAGGTGGGGAATGTCCCAAGCTCCGTCAAGAACCTCTCTGGGTCCATCAGGCACCTGGGGCGGAACCATTTTATGGGTCCCGCCTCCCAGCGGCAAGGGTTGGCAGATTGAAAGTCCAGTCTAAGGAAGGAATGGTCGGTCCATGAGAGGAGGGCGATGGAAAGTTCCCCCCTACCACGATCATTTATCCACTGCCCAGAGAGAAAAACCAGGTCAAGTGTGTGTCGTCCCCTATGAGTTGGGCCCTGAATAACCTGAGTCAGGTCCATGGCTGCCATGGAAGTCAAGACATCGAGCAGTGCGGGCAGGGCTGTGGTAACATAGCTGGGAGATAGGTATGTGACCAACAAACCAGACTGAACTCCAAGGTCCCACTTCAATAGAAGAGACTCACAGGCAATGAATAGAAGAATTGCAGGCAATGCTGTTTGAAAGGGTTTCCTCTCCACCATTTCTCTTTCATTCTGTCTCTGTCACTCTCTCTCTCACATACACACACACAATTTGTTGAGAAACAGCAAAAGGCAAACAACCAGGTAAGGGGACTGACCTGGCCTCAAGCTCGGCACCTGCTCAGAGTGGCGCCCCAAAGCCCGAGACCTGCGTGGGCAACCCCCACCCGTCCAATGTAACAACTGGGCTCCCTTGTAGTGCCTCCTCTCCCATGTGAAGCAGCGGCCGATGCAGGCTCTATCTGCGCGACTATGAAGTGGGATTGGCATGGACGATTCTTGCCCGCAGCGTTGGTGGCCAGGATCAGGTCACAGCCGCCACCAGTCGAGATCAGCAGGCCAGTATGCCTGCAAGATCCCTGGTTTCTGAGGCTGGTGAGGGTCAGCGTTTGGGCTTCGACACATTCTTCTCTTACTGGGTGGTAGTTGTGTGTGAGCAGCGCCTCCAGCTAAGTCTGGCCTGCTGATCTCGACTGGTGGCGGCTGTGACCTGATCCTGGCCACCAATGCTGCGGGCAAGAACCAGCCATGCTGTTCCCACTTCATTGCCGCACAGATGGAACCTGCACTAGCCACTGCTTCACATGAAAGAGGAGGCATTATTAGAGAGCCCATTTGTCACATTGGTCAGGTGGGGTTGCCCACGCAGGTGCTGGGCCTCGGGGCGCCACCCTGTGCAGATGTTGAGCTGGAGGCAGGGGAGAGTCAGTCCCCTTACCTGGTTGCCTGCCCTCTGCCGTTTCTTAACAAATGTCTCTCTCTCTCTCTCTCTCTGTGTGTGTGTGTGTGTGTGTGTGTGTGTGTGTGTGTGTGTGTGTGTGTGTATGTGAGAGAGACAGAGAGAGTGAGAGAGAGATGGTAGAGAAGAAATCCTTTCAAACAGCATTGTCTGAAACTCTTGTTACTTCCCTCCGTCATTTCTCTTTCTGTCTCTTTCGCTCTGTCTCTTTCATACACAGAGACATTTGACTGCTTGAAAGGGACAGGATGCGCTTTGCTTTTACCATAAACACATGCATCCCACAATCTTTCAGAATTGCTGCCTTTTCGTCCTTTTCTCTATTTCCCCTCCCCCCGGTTTTAAAACATTTTATTTGCATATTAAAAAAATCCTGCATTCCAATAATTAAAATTATTTGAACAAAAAAAATGGCACTCGATTAAAATGCATTTTACAGCTCGCAGGACCCTGGTACAGCTTTGTGTATATTCATGTGTTACTAGATTACTGTAATCCCTCTTAGAATCTTCTTTCAAGAAACATGCAAGCTTTTGTGCTATTGGACCAGAAGCTGGACAGGCAGATGGAAAGGAAGGTGCCTTCATTCAGCGTCAGTAGTGCGCTCTGTTCTTTTTTGGGGGGGGGGATGTGAGAGGGGCAGTACAATCATTTTAAATTTATCCAACTCTTTGCATCTTACAAAGTTAAAACAGTTAAATGAAGTAAAATAAGAAGGCAATGCTTGTGGAATGTACAGTGCATAATTTGGAAGGGCCCGATTACGAATCATTACGATTCACCCGCTTGCTTCTACTGTTCAATTGTTTCTTTTGAAGGCAGTGGGTTTTTCTCTTGCGTTTCTATCTTTTTCAGCTTAGATTTATCAAATTTTTCAATTTCAGCCATATCTGGTTTGTCAGACATTGTTATTGATTGATCAGTGAGACTGTCCCAAAAGATGCAGCCCGAAACCTTCCTGCAGCCGCTCTGAACTGTAACATCCCTTTTCGTTCTTTTCTCAAGCAGCAGCCACAAGGGAGAGGCGGGGGGGGGACTGATTCCATGGGCCACATGGCTTTCTGCCACATCGCCAGAAATATCTCCAGGCACCTGGAGAGACAAAACTCCCAGCCCTTGCTGGATCAGCTGATCCACAGGCCGCAGTTAGACTGGGAAGGGAAGGGCTGTCTTCTGGGCTGGCCATGCCCACTCCCTTCACTAGGGCTTATTTTTGGGGTAGGCCTTATATTAGGCCCACTCAAAAAAAAATCAGGGGAGGGCTTACTTTCAGGGTAGTCATATTTTAGGGGAAACATGGTACTGATTTTTTTAAAGCCACATTCCTAATGTTTGAACAAAACAACTTCCAAATTCTAATAATTAGTTAATCATAGAGAAGAATTATACCTGATAATATTTAGCAGCAGCTTTCATCCCTTCATCACTATCAAGATTCTGTTCTGATGCTATTTGACTGGCCAATGCTCCACAATTAAATAACACGCATGTTTTCTCATAGCCTAAACTTGCCAGAGCTGAAACAAAGTGCATACAAATCAACATTCTTATCTATAAATCAGAGAGTAATGGAGCCTGTAGTAATTAATAAAAGTGAAAACGATAATAAGTATATATCAATGAATCTGCAGATCTATGAAATTCATTAAATAATTTATACACAATTCTTTTTTAAAAAAATCAAAATTAATATTAGATGATTTCCAGGTGATCTAGTTGCTAATAACTAACCTTAAACTTTTATGATTTGAGATGAAAATATTTAAATAATTGTTATTGCAGTCATATCATTGTGCTGTTTGCCTTTACAGGTTCTGGGTTAACACAACTAGCTTGATTTCCTGAAAAAATAATGAAGATAGCTTCATTTTCAGTGGAGCTGACAACCACAGCAAAATGAGGAGCCAGAGAATGGATTGGCTCCTCAGAATTCCAGATCAAGGATATTGTGGTATTGGCAACAAGCACTCTATATAATCATTCCCCAAAATGAGATCAAAACATAGTGTCTCCAGCAGATTTTGGAGTTCTCCAAGTGAAAGCCTTCGCTGACAAAGTTGTAGTTCAGAGCAAGGAGTCTGTAATCCCCAGATTACGAGAATTCCCTTAGCGAACGTTCAAAGTTATGTGACCAGCACCCCCTAGCGTTTACGAACAAGGCCCGAAACTACAAATCTTGCAGTAACATGGCAATTGTTCACCATTACGAACAACTGCAGAGGCTCTGCAACATCCATCCTGAATGTTGTCAGCCGAAATGGAACTTCTGAGGGGTGGATATGCCCCTCAGAAACCCAGTTCGCCTATCACAGACCTCACCCAGTCTGTTGCAGGCCGAAATGGAGCCTCCAGGGATTGGATCTGGCCTCCGAGGCCCCATTCGGCCCTCCGCAGGCCTGCCGTAGCCCGTTGCAGAGGATCCAGGCCCCGGAAGCTCCATTTTTGCCTGCAACGGGCCAGGGGAGGCCCGCAGCAGGTCAAACGGACCATTGGCAGGACGCATGAGGCTGGCGAGGAGACTACTTGCTAGATCTTCACAAGATAAGTGACCCAACATGGCACATTGTGGGGGGGGGGAAGCAATTTGGGGAGCATGAGGTATTTCAGTGGATTGGGGAAGCCTTGGGTGGTCTTAGGCAACTACCCTGTTCCATCAGAAGGCCATCCATGGCCTTCCCCACCCTGAAATACCCATGTCACTTAACGAGTGTCCCATTTGATTAGCGAATGCCTTGGCTAAAGGAGGGAATGATCTCATTCAAGATATGAGATTCATTCCCATGAATCCTCGGGTTACAAATGGCATGGGTAGGTTACATTACATTCATAACTCGAAGACTACCTATATTTGCATACTTGGATTTCATAATCAGTTCCAGAAATTGGAACTGCTGAGCCGAAGTGTGCGAGGCCTGGCTGCAACTATCCAAAGGTAATTAGTAGGGCATCTCCACTCCCCCATCCCCACCCTAGCTTAATCTGTGTTCCCTGGAGTGGGCGGGGTCTTAATTAGGGCTTATTTTGGGGGTAGGGCTTATATTGGGTGCACATGTAAAAATCAAGGTAGGACTTACTTTCTGAGTAGGTCGTATTTTCAGGCTTTATAAAAATTCAATATTTATACTGTTTGCTTTTGGATATATGCCAATTGGAATAAGAACACCAATCTGACTATCAAAATACAAAATGATAATGTGGTTCAATTCTGGTTCTGGCCTGATTCTAGTTTCTTTCAACTAGACAAAGCATAGAAAGTAGGTAATGAAAAGAAAAACCTGATAGGATATACAATATTTACACAGATAGATAATCACAAGGTGCCTCAACAACTCAAAACCTTTAGGGTTTGTGAACATAAAGAATATAGTTGCAAAATCAATAGAAAGTAGCCTTCTTAGCACAAATCAACTTCATAAGTATCATTCCAATGAAAATTTTAGGAAAACTAAGCAATCTTTTACCAACTAGAATATTATTCCATTCCAACACTGCTTGCTTCTAAGGATCAAAACAAAAATTATGCTCAAATTCATGAAGGAAGACACATGTCTCTTCTGCAGAATCAGTTAAAGTGACTTTTAAATTAGAGTCACATAAGTGGGATGAGTGGTGTTGAAATTTAATAAATAAATAAGCAATTCTTTAAAAATATATTAAATTAGAATACTTATGAGAGGCTTAGATTTCATATATTTTGAATTCTGTAATAATTAATTACCAAGTTTAACAGATCCTCCAAACAGTGACCCCTTGTCAAAGGCATCTTTCCAGGTAAAAGTTACACAGATCTAAAAATATAAATAAAAACAGTAAATTAATTTCTAGCCTTAAGATAGATGTAAATATTCCAAAAATATTCCTTAAGCAGAAATACAAATGTCAAAAACAGTAAAAATCTGCACCTTATCATTATCTGATAATACATATGGATACAAGGAAGTTTTATGAGAAAATTTGATATATGATAAAGAAATGGGTATATTTAAAGTTCCTTTTACATCAATTATTTTATTATTATAACCAGAATTGGGTGTACAGTCTTTGTTTTAAAACAATATACATTTATGCAATTCAATTAATTGGACTATTCTTAATTTTTGTAGAGTTAAGTACATACTGAAATTTTCTTGGGAAACTAATATATTCCAAAACAGTGATTGATATGTATCCTTGTGATCCAAGAGTATTGTCACACTGTATAATAGATGTCTGTCCAAGGATATCTTCACGACCTCACTTATTTAATTAGAAAAGTATGACTTAAAAGTGTAGAATTCATTCAAAAGCAACTTTTTATTCCAAAGTCAACTACTCTCTTACACAATATACTGCATTTTAAAATGATATTTAAAAGCTTTAATACATTACCTGGTTTTCAGAAAATGGAAATTTTGGTTCTATGGAACACAGTTGATCATAGTATCTGAAATAAACAAATACCACCGTAAGTGTATATGTTGTTGCAAATATACCAGATGTTTGCAAATATACCACAAACCCATGAATGAGATGGCTCTCTCTCTCTATATGAACACATAGCTTGACTTTTCTTTCCTCTCCCTGCCTCTCTCTGTATGTATGTATGTATGTATATACATATATACATGAATGTACATATACCTTGTTTCCCCCAAAATAAGACATCCCCTAATAATAAGCCCAATCGGGCTTTTGAGCGCATGGCAATAAGACCAAGCATTTATTTCAGGGCAGGGTGGATAAAAATCAATGATTTTTTAAAAAAAAATCAAAAAAATCAGATTTTTTTTATTTAAATCGGATTTTTTTATTTAAATTTGATTTTTTTAAATAAAATGCTTTTTGAGGAAAATATATTACCACCCAAAGATTATTCCATCATGAAATAAAGATTAGTTTTTTAATTATGTAGAATAAGGTTGTATGTGTTTAATTTTTTTGGTAAATAAATTCCATTAATCCATTCACAATGTCATGCTCTTCCAGAGGTTTTTGTAAGATTATTGGGCAGTTTCTCTGCCTACAAAATATTATCACAGATGTTTGGTTTATTTTTGCAGTTCTCAAAACTGAATTTGACTCAGCAGAGATCACATGCCTCTTCTTCACAGCAAAAATGTTATAACATGAAGAGAGTTGAGAAAAAGACCTTAATCCTATTGTTCTACAAACCTATGAATACAGAATCAACCCCTTCAATGCTAAGTTTCAAGAAGTTCAGTGAATAGAATAGAAACAATATTTTTCTGATTGTTTGGAGTGGAACAGATCTGCACAAGAAGAAAGTGAAACTAAGTGTGAGGAGGAAGGGGCAAGCAAGCAGTACAAAATGAAAGTGAAACTTTCTGAACACAATACTGCACAGCCACAGACAGACAAGTCTTTGGATCTTTTTGTGTGTATGACCTGAGGTTTATCACATTTTTTCCTTGGAGGAAAAAACCTATAATGGCAGCAGGCCGTAAAAGAGACCCAGTTTGGCAATATTTTAATGAAGTTCCTTTACCTATCGGTAAGACAGGCATGAGTGCAAACTGCAAACACTGCAACAAACAAATGCAAGGCCTGGTGGCCCGAATGAGGCAACATCATGAGAAGTGCTGTGATGAAGATGACTAAAGAAACACATTTGAACAGGCAGGATCTTCAGGTTGGTAAACATTTTTATTGAATCATATTTCTAAAGATTGCCTTGAACTGTCATGTTTGAGCAAAATTATATTTCTTATTATTACTGCATGTTACTGTCATTTGGTACAGTTATGAAGAAAAGCAAATATTCCTTTTGGGGCAGTGCTGTGTACAATAAGCAGAAATTGTATAAACAATAAAATAACAACATTGACTTTTTTGTTTAGGGGAATTCATGAATTCTGGAAACTATCCACCTTCAAGATCACCATCCTCCTGTTCTACAGTTTCAGAGTTATCTATCCAGGATAGTGCTTCATTAGCATCATCATCATCAGACACCCACAGCCACATATCACTATCACCTAAAAGAAAGAAAAAACCTTTCCCTCCTGGAACCACCATAGATAAGTTTGTGATAAAAACTAGCAGATTAGAAAAAGAGTTAATTGATGAAAAAATTGCCCAGTTTGTTTATGCAACGAACTCTTCTTTCTGTCTGACTGAGAACCCACATTTCATTAATATGGTTCAGTCACTGAGACCAGGATACAGTTCACCCAGCAGAGCAGATGTTGCAGGGAAACTGCTGGATAAAGTGTATGACAGAGAAATGGAGCAATGTGCAACAGCTCTGGAGGGTAGAATTGTTAACCCAAGTATTGATGGGTGGAGTAATGTCAACAATGATCCTATTGTATGTGCTTGTATAACAACAGAAGAAGGGAGTCTTCCTTGCAAAAAAAATTGATACGTCAGGAAATGCACACAC